AGAGAGAGAGAGAGAGAGAGAGAGAGAGAGAGAGAGAGAGAGAGAGAGAGAGAGAGAGAGAGGCACAGAAAAAAAAAGGGAGTGTGTATCTTCCCGGCCTTGTGCTGCGGATTCGGATTCGCCACAGACTGCCACAGGAAAAAAAAAAAGCAGGCGCTGTATCTTCCCGGCCTTGCCATGTGGATTCCGATCCGCACCGGTTCGCAAAAAAATTGATCGCGGCCTCGCACCGGTTGGGAAAACCTCAAGTGCGGGAGCGGTCCCGCGTGGCGGCGCCCGGTTTCTGTTGGGTCCGTCACGCGAGACCCGAAAACCTCAAGTGCGGGAGCGGTCCCGCGTGGTGGCGCCCGGTTTCTGTTGGGTCCGTCACGCGAGACCCGCTTCTTGCTTTATAGTATTAGAGATAACAATGAGTGGATGAACCAGAATCAATATCCGAAGTTCCCTCTTACTGCTGACACAACAACAGGTCCACCACAGCCATGGGTTCCCCCCCCTTCTTCCACCTCTCACATGCCTAGGCTATGGCGGACTACTGAGGGCCCTGCCCTCCTGTGCAAAGGACAACGCAAAGCAGCTATGTCTCTGCACTCCGGTCCAAAAGGGCAACCCAAAGCAGTTATGCTGCTGCTTACTAAGCCGCCATGCCTGACTCTGCCTCAAGCTTCCTTGGTGAGGCACTACCCCAACTGGGGCCTTCCAGATGCAGCGCCCAACAAGGTGAAGAAGATGGTGTCCACCATAGCCAGGTAGGTACCTCGCCACTCTCCTCCTGCGCCCCCTTCTTCCTCCTCCTCAGGCTGGGCTGCTCGCCATAGCCAGGCTGAGCGCCCAGCTGCTCGTCACCTCCAGGCAGCGCTGCCCAAGTCCAGCGCTTGGCTCCAGCAGCATGTCGCCAATCCTTGCATACCGCAAATGAGGAGGATCAGCTTGCTCCTCCGGAAGATATAGCGGCCTACTGGCCTCTTGGGCGGTGACTTCCTAGGCCGAGCGGCCTCCCAGCAACTGGTACCTACTCCCTTTCGGAGGGAAACATCATTGCAGGCTCTGCTATCGTCCGGACAGGCCCTGGACTCAGGCTGCTTTCACTGGTACAGACGTTCCTCTATCCTACCTCTACTGGTTCTCTAAAAATGCCAACTTTTTGTCTTCTTCTGCTCGGCCTCCAGTACCCGACACTTCTACGATTGCTTGAGTCGTACGGCCTACCTGCTACTTGAGTGTTTTTCCCCGCTGCTCTAAGTGTCGCGGGCCTACCCCTGCTACTTGAGTGTTTTCCCTGATGCAACCCTCAAAGTCACGGCCACAGGTAAGTACCGGCCCTGCGGGGCCTTTCAACCAACAACAAGTACCCTTGCGGGTCACACACACACTCAGCCGACAAGCACTCAGACAGGCACGTAAACCAGCAGGCACGCACACACACACAGACTTGGAATCCACAGCAAAATGCGAGAATCGCAGCAAGGCATTCATTCCAGGGGCAAATCCCAGAAATCAGCAGTGTTCTCAGTCTGTGTTTTGGCAGGTCATTACATGTTTTTGATCTCCAGAACCCCTCCTTGTGTAGTTCTTCTTTTTTTGGGGGGGGGTTGCTTGTATCGCCATGCCATGTAGCATCCCCCAGGTCATGATCTCAAGTCTGGGGAGCTTAGGTCCACCTGTGGACAGTTGGGTTTGGCTTTTTTTTTTCTTCGGGTGCGGATCTCTTGTTGTTTGTTGGTTATCTGTACTGCCAGCCCACGTAGCATCGCCCACCTACGTTACACTGCACCGGCCGGCCCACATGTGGTTATCCAGTCCACATACTATGACTCGCCCCGCGTTGTATCAGCCAACCGATATAGTATCACCTGGGCCACATGGTACCACCCTGAACCACCTGGTATAACCCAGCCTACATAGTACCGCCGGACCCACTTAGTAACCAAAGGCAGTGTTGAGAGACGAGCGTTTCCAACCGCGCTTATTGCGGATAGACTGCCGGATTCATACCCAATGATAGTTTTGCTAAAGAGTCTGTGAAAATTATGTTCTCCCAGTTGGTATCTATGGCAGAACACCTTTCCTGCGAGAGGGTACCTGGACAAAAGTCAGAAATGGGCTATGGTAGTATGGAGAGGTCTTCTCAACTTAGTACCAGAATGGTGATTTTGTGTATGTTAAATGGCGCTAAAATCTGAGCCTGTTTCCGAAACACGTGTTTGAGCTCCAAGGGGACATGCGAAAAGGGGGCTAAAACGTAAAAGGGGGCTATAAGGTTTTGGAAGGGGTGTGTAGAACTGAGTTTTCTAACCTTTCTTCTTTTTTTCCAATGATCTTATCTAAAATCTAGCAAGGAAGTTTGTGGTCACTCTCAGCTAAAGGTAGTTTGTATGCCAAACTCAGGGAAAACTTTTCTGAAATTATTGACTTGTGCATCCTGATTCCTCACAGACCTATCGTCTGGCTTTTTCTGGCCCTAATGTTGGGATCTGGACCTGGACAGTCCAGGGCCTGCTGGACCTCTGGCCAGCCTAGCTAATCTGCGATTGATTTGTTCTGTGCCAAGTTTCAACTTTCAACAGAACTATTTAATTTGTACGGAAATTGTACCATTATTTTTTAAGTTTTTGTGGGTGTGCTTCTGTGCAGCATCAGCGTGGTGAAGATGATATGCCTGGTCGTCCATGAGCTTGTTCTCCATTTTCCTGATGTGGAGATGATTGCGGCATGTTTGCGGATTCTCTCCAGCTTCGTCCCCTGGTGAGTAGTAACTTTAAAAAGTGACTGTTGCCATGCTTTGGCATGAACACTGTCACGCACGTCACTTTTCTTTTGCGAATGTTTTTTTTGCTCTGCTTTTTTCTCTGCCTCTCTCTATTCTTTTGGCGTCCTGTCTGCCTCTCTCTCCCTCGGTCTGTCTCCCTTTCTTTCACTCTCTCTGTCTGTCTCCGTTTCTCTCTCTCTCTCTGGCTGTCGCCCTTTATCTCTCTCTCTGTCTGTCTCTCTGGCTCTCTCTCTCTCTCTCTGTCTCTCTCTCTCTCTCTCTCTCTCTCTCTCTCTCTCTCTCTCTCTCTCTCTCTCTCTCTCTCTCTCTCTCTCTCNTCTCTCTCTCTCTCTCTCTCTCTCTCTCTCTCTCTCTCTCTCTCTCTCTGTCTCTCTGTCTCTCTCTGTCTCTCTCTGTCTCTCTCTGTCTCTCTGTCTCTCTCTCTCTCTCTGTTTAGCTCACTCTGTTTCTTTCTTTCGGGTTTTCACACGAGAATATATGGAAACGGCATGGACACAGACAGAAAGCCATTGGGAAATGAGATGGATCCAACGCGTGTAATTCTCCAGGAACAGGTGTCCGTCTGGTCACAGATTCTGGTCCTCTTTTCTTCCTCGCCAAAAGAAAAGTCAGACTGGGCGTCAACCTGCTACGAATCGGCAATATGAAATTTGATCTGGGTGCAGGATTTTGATTGTGTTGTTATTTCCATTTTTTCTCCTTTCCCTCGAGTAACTGTAAGGTCCGCATTTGGTTACGAACTCAGCCATCTTGCCCAAATACCCGGACTTTGTATTACTCCATTGTTGATATGTGGGCGGAGCTATGCTGTGCGCATGTGTTCTCTTTGCGAAGAGGAGGAGAATGCCAATGAAGGTTGGAAGCAACATAGCTGTCCAACCCCTTGAATATTCTGGCAAGAAAAAGAAGGATAGTGTGAGTATGCTCTAACTCGGCCATTTTGCATCCTGACCTCGTGTTGCTTTTTATTACTCCATCCTTGATATGCGGGAGGAGCTGCGCGGGCCCTGTCTTGTTCTCTTTAGTATTGCAAACAACAAAGGGGCAAGAGGAGTAGGACAGGTGGAGAGGCAAAGGAGAAGGTGGGGAGGAAGAGGAGGAGGAAAATGCCAATGGTGGCAAGGATGATGATGAGGAGGAAATGATGAGTAGTAAGATGTGGAGTGTGAGGGGGAGGAGGAGGGGGGTGCAGTCTTGTTCCCTTTGGCATTGAAAACAAAAGGGCAAGAGGAGTAGGAGAGGAGAGGACGAGGCACAGAGGAGAAGATGGGGAGGAAGAGTAGGAGGAGAATGCCACGGATGATAAGAATGATGAGGAGGACGAAATGATTAGTGGTAGTAAGATGTGGAGGAGGAGGAAAAGGTGGCTGCGAAGCGAGGACGGTTATGGAGTCTTGCTCTCTTTGTTGCCAAAAAAAAAGAACGAAAAAGAGGCAGGACGAGTAGAGGAAGAGGAAGAAGAGGATAATGCCAAGGAAGTCTAGAGGAGAAAAGGGTGTCCAGAAAGATGTGGACACGAAAAAGGGCTGGCCATTTCCCAACAACGTCAGAGCAAGGGAGACAACCGATAGTGGATTTGATATGGGGTTGGTGATCGTTGTGTCAGAGGCGCCAATATGAAACCGCCGAGTCTTGCCAATCTTAGCTACAATACGAAACCGCTGAGTCTGCCTACAAACACACCAGGACACCAGGACGCAATGCAAACTGCAGGTCATAGCTAGAAAAAATCTCGAAGTCGTAGCCATAAAACCCTCATGTCCAAGTGATAGCACTAAGAAATCCCCACAACAGCACCCTGGCTGATATTTTTGCGTCCTGTGCTCCAATAACCGCAGCCCATGAGAATTGCACTTCTAGCATCCATTCTCTAAGTCTGTTCATCGGGATTTTAGGCCACAGCGACACCAAAGAAACCCCAAGTTCTGGGTGTTTGACAAAGGGAGTGTTAGGGAGGGGAAGGAAAAGAGAGACCGTTTTGTTGTTGTTACCGAGATGGGAGAGGGATTGTGCATTACTGACAGTAAGCTGAAAATCAAACTGCTGTTATAATTGTTCAGGGTTGAGAACGCCACCCTTGATGCTCTGAGAATCAAAATGCTCTTTTTGCCAGTTTTTGGAACGTACTGTGGAGTGGTCCCATTTTATGTTCACAAAAGGGAAATAACCGTTTGCTCATTTTTGCCTGTGCAGCTATCCAGATATGGTCCTTCAGGAAATAAGCAAGACAAGCTTACTGCAACCAGCCATGGATGTTGATGGGCTGCCCTCCAGGTACTGCTTTCCATGCTTGCTTTTCTCTCGTCCCTGCAATGAGCTGCTAGAATGCAGACTGAGAAATCCGCTGTTTTCTGAGTTTCGCTGTTTGCTGGGCTGATTTGCTGAGATTTCCGTGTTCTGATGAGTGTGTGCGTGTGTGTGGCCTGAGTGCTTGTGATATCTCTGTTCCGTGGGCTTACCCGCTTGTCTGAGTGTTGGGGTGTGTGTGACCGCTGGGGATGGCATGTGTGCAGGAATGGCCTGCGGGCCTGGTGCTAACCTGTGGCCCTGTTTGTTGGGGCTGCAGCAGGTGGGTTTGAGGGTTTGATGGGCTGCCCACGAAGGCCAGGTTGAAGTTGTAGTTGAAAGGCATTGTCTTCATTTGAGCATTTGCAATTTTGCACTGAGCGATATCCAGGATCATAACATCCATTGTCTTCCTGCAATTTTGCACTGAGCGATATCCAGGATCATAACATCCCCTATTGCTATTCTTCTACTCTGCTGCGCCCCACCACCCCGGTTGAAGTATATTCTAATTACAGAGGAGCAGTGCATGCACACTTCATCTCTGGTCAGGGAGTAGAATGGAGAGGGGAATACCGTGCATACTTTGGCTTAAGGGCATAGCATATTGGTGATCTGGTTTTAAAATGCTCTTCACTTATCAGGGTTATGTATGTTCTGTTGTTCTTCCAGTGGAGAATGGGCTTTGGCAAACAGTCAGATCCATAACTTGTTGCTATCGTCGGAGCAGACTCGTGGGTTGTATCCTCTCACCCTTGCAGGTATGGCATGCCATTTTCCTGCATGAGACCTTGTTATTGCTGTTCATCAGATTTGCCAGTTTGTGAACGTGGTCATGGTATGTCTGATTGGTAAAGATGTGCTGTCACCTCCGTAACTTTTTTGTCAGTGTGTGATATCTTAACAGTCATAGGTGCAAAAGTTTGTGGAAATGGATCACGCCACTCACAATCTCTGCTCCCTTCTGCCTGATTCTTTGCATGGTCCATCTGTTGATATCTGCCTGCTGTGCCTGTAGTTCTGTGGTGATTTTTGTGTCGGATTTTCTTGTCAATGACTGCCAAAACCACAGATGAAGGTTTCCTCCGCCCACACTGGCAGGCCAGTTTTGTATGACCCAGGGCTCGAAAGAAGTGTGTGCACACACACGCACACACACACACACACACACACACACACACACACACACACACAGAGAGAGAGAGAGAGAGAGAGAGAGAGAGAGAGAGAGAGAGAGAGAGAGAGAGAGAGAGAGAGAGAGAGAGAGAGAGAGAGACCCCCCCCCCCCCCCCCCCCCCCCCCCCCCCCCGATATGCCAAAAATGCACCTGCAGCACTAAACAAAATGGGTATTAGTTTCATCATTCATGGAGTGGCAGACTCTGATAAAAACATAATTTCGTTTTTTACTGGGGCAAAATTCCTTGGACTTCAGTCGAGAGTTCTGTCTTCAGATTCCAGACAAGGATTTAGAAGGCCTTGCTTTCAAAGAATTATGGTAAGATGCGTACACTTCAGACAAAAATGGCACAAAGTTTACACGCCAGATTGTTAGCCGTTCGACGTGAGGCTTTATTTTACGCATGTCTTGTGAAGTTCAAACTCTTACAGGGGTAGAGAGCAAAGTAAGATAAACGATCGAATACGTAATGGAGTAAAGAAGGAAGGGAAACTTATTCTCCTCACGGTTTCAGTAATCTCGAGCAACCAATGAATTCTATCCCACCGGGCCATTGTCAATTTTCAATTCCCATTAGCTGCGGGTTCAGTCTAGATAAGAGCTGGGATGGTTGGATTTGGCCGGCGGCATATTATCTTGTTTACTGTGTCTTTCGTTCTTTCTCACGCTTTCCCAACCGGTCTCCCTGTCTGTCACTCGAGCTCCCTCTCTCGCAATCTCTCTTTTTTGCACTCCCTCTCCCTCTCACTGCATTCTCGCGTGCACTCTCTATCTCTTCGTCACGCTCTCATACAGTCTCTTTCCCTCCCTGACTCCCATCCCTCCCCACCCCACCCCCCATCTCTCTTCTCTCTGACCACCCTATGTACTTCCTACTATATCTACCATGCTAACCTATCTTCAAGACGACTTCTGTCCACGTGTCACTCGCACAATGGTGCTTGAAGACTCTGCTCATACAGGCTTCCGTCGCCAGCACCAGGTAAGAATCACCGGTCCCCGCTGCCTTTCTTCTTCCCCGACCTCTACACCTTGCCACCCAGCTTCCCTGCACTTAGCTATGGCTGGCACTCTTCCCTCAGCCACCACAGCCGTTCTCTCCTTGGGGTCTACGCATAGGTCTCTCCACCATCGTCTGTAACTGGAGGCTGGGCCTACGGGTAGTTACAGGCACTGGCCTGCGACCAGGCAAAACGGGGCCCCGCTGACCCTTCCCTTTGGGCCGGCATTGAAAATACCTGGCCCGCCTTATTATTATTATTATTATATATATATCTGTTTGTGATGATATATATATATATTTTAAACACAGAACCTGACGGTTCTGGCTCCTGCCATTCTGGGGAGCAACAGTCCGGTTCCTATTCCCCCTGCAAGTCATAAATGGTTACAAAAAGTACTCACACACGCTCCTCCCCATGATGGGTGGAAGGCCCGAGTGGGCGGCATTGATTACTTCCGTTCGGAAGGATATACCCCCCCTCCCCCCTGCCTAAGTTAGCCTATTCTACATCGTCCCGCAGTTGAACTCACAAACCCTGCACATTCTTTCCACTCAGACCTTTCCTTAAGAGCCTGCCATGTCCTACCTGAATTTCTAGAAAGACTGGTATTGTCTGCCCTGTTTTCTATGTCCTTTCCTCTCAGATTACCCCTAGTAACCTGTCATATAACTTATGAATATCAAGAAACTACCTTAGTACCCTTCATGTATTGGAATGTGGTCCCTATTGTTCCCGTATGCCATAATCACATTTGTATACCCTTGACTTTTGTAAGACGCAGCTTGAATTCCGACAATGATTTCCGAGTATTATCTCCTTAAACCCTAAACCCTACTTGCTTAAACCTTTAAACCTCTCTGTATTCCTCTAGAGGTCTGCTTACTTTGCAGACTTCATGATTTTGTAGTATCCTTACCTGAAATCTTCCTTTTCTTCTCATTGCCAATATTCTCCAACGATCCTTTGCTGTGAACCCTTTCCCTTCCTCTCAATGCCATTAGTCCCCAAAGTTGCCTTGCTTCTTGCTATGGTCAGCCGTTTGCGATTCTATCTTAACCTGTGATCCTTTGCTTGCACTTCACTCATGACCTTCGCCTTTCTAAGCATAGACTTCCATTAATCATAGTGAAGCCAGTTGCTGTGTCTGCCCCTGGTGCCCGTTTGCGATGTCTTGTTGGTCTTCTCTGAACCAACAGAAGCTCAGCCTGTGCCCCTCTATTGTGGCTATTTTACCTTCGGCCAAAACTTTGTTGTAGAATTTGTTGAGAATGTCCTTCGCCCTTTCCGGGCTAGCCGCTGCCTGTTTCTTGGCTCGCTGCCATTGAGCTATAATGTCCGTCTTTAGCAGATTATGTAGTGTTGCTCTAGCTTCCATTCTAGTTGACAGGCTTTTACCTATCACTTGTTGGCATCTTCTTTTCCATATTGTCCATAACGTGTATTGTCTCAGTAACGGATAGATACACTTATGGTTTGAGTTCCAACCTGTTGGGACTTCAGTTCCTGTGAGATGGAGTCTTTTACTCCTTGGGAATGAAAATTCCGTGATACGACCCCATAGGGTTCGAGCTATAGACCAAACATACCCCGCTTCCGGGCAGAGCAGAAGGCAGTGAAGCAGTGTTTCGGGTATTCCTTCCGTGCACATGACGCAGTTTTGCTCACTCACATCTCTGTTAGTCCTGCTTCGTTTTTCATACAGCCAGGTGTTGACCAGGAGTGCGACATGAAATATGAGCCACTGCATGCTTCGGACTTTATTCAGCCTGATGCTGTGCAAAATTGACCACGGCAGTTTTCCTATTTGCGGTCTTGGTATTCCCACCCTCTTGGGATTGATCCTTCTTAGTTGATCTCTTTCTTAACCTATATCCCCATTTAGTAGTGTAGTGGAGTACGTTAACTCTCTTAACTACTCTTGACCCATTCCCTTTGATGTTCCATGCCCAATGTGCTGGATCAATTTCCAGATCTTGGATAGGTGTTGTAGGAGCAAAAATTGTGAACTCGTCAAGACTTTTATTGACGGCTATTGGGACCCGTGTCTCTTTGTCCAATAGACTAACCATAAAGCCTGCGTTCAGGATTGGATACATGTCTGCCTCCAGCCATTGATTGGCTGGGCCCACCTCGTGGTGAATGCGGAACGCGTGATCTGGTTCCGAGCTTGAGGTCCACGTTGCCCAGTCACCCCAGCCCCATTCGAACGGGCCCCTTAATATTTGTGTCCGTGCTTGGGGTATGGAGGTAAGCAATTCATTTAAATTCTCGGTTAGTTTGTGACAACTTTCATTTCCTCTCTGATTTCCCTCCCCGTTTTCCACCTATTGTGAGTTGGTGACCATAGATGCTTTACCGGCCATACCCCATGCTCCAACCAATTCCCCCACTTGGCGTCCTTTGCTGTAAGTGTTCTAGGTTTTCCTTGAGAGTCCTTCAACCATGGGTTACAAAACAAAGGCTGTCTAAGAATTTCCTCTTTCGTTCTTGGGCGTCTTACTCTTGCCGGGAAGACTTCGGCCCAAATCTTTAGGATGTGGGCCCAGAATGAAGACCTGGCTTCGTTTTCCCCTCCCCCCTGCGCTCTTGTTATTCCTTTCTTGGCCCACCCTTTACAGAATAACCAGAACGTGCCCTCCATATTTGGAGTTGTGTATCTCGCCATCCCCCGTATGTGCTCCAATGCTAGGGGGACCCAGCTTAGATGGGGTTACCGGGCCCGCCTTCACTTAGGGCAGCCAGGGCCTTTTTCCAGTGGCCGGAGAGATTCTTAATGTAGGGCCAAAATTTCGCCGTTGTTGCCATTTAAAAATATTCGCCGAAAATCACACCCCCTGTTAACCACGTGTGTCATAAAAGACCATGGTAGGCGATTCAGTAACTTAACACATAACCAATCAACTCTCGAAACTGCAACATCCCAGCATAATTGACTCAAGCTTCTTTGACTTAGCACCTAACCGAACAACTTTCAAAACTACAACATTCCAGAATGACTCAAGCTTCTTCGGCTATTGCTTCCGCTGATGAGTGATGTGATGCCCTCCCAATGGAAGCTCAGTGAAACCGTCTCGCTATTGTCGTTTGCATTTTGTTTGTTATTTTCCCAGCCCTGCAGTTTATGCAAGCTTTGGTAGACAGAGGTCTCTACTCGGGAGCAGCAGGAGGTCTTGTGCTGTATATGGAGACTGAGATACTTGTTAAACATGCAACATGGCGTTATCTTCGAAGAGTTGAGCGGTGGCAGATCTCTGCTAAGGTAACACTGACCGTATGTTCTTTCAGTCTTGCCTGTGGTTATGGTTTCTGGTTCCGTCTTGGGACTGTTTTTCCCGTCCCGCCCTAGATTGTGCCATGAAAAGCATGGGTAACTTAGCTGGTGATGTGATATGCAACCCCCCAGATATTTCTTTGACTATAGTTTTCCCAGCAGTCCCTTGCATGAGCACATGGAATACTCATTTATGATGAAAATAACATTAGCACATGGAATACTCATTTATGATGAAACTAACATTAGCGCGTGGAATGCTCTTTTATGATGAAAATAATGTATTGAGAGTAACCAAAGTAACTTATAAAGACTCGTGTTGTAGGGACAGAGAGGGGGAAATAAGTTAAAGATGACTAGGCAGTTCATGCACAGAAAATGGTCATCATATATGAGGCATTACCTATCATGGTCGACACATACTGAGTGACATAGGTGGGCATTTGCCGGTATACCACCCTTTTCGCCTCTTACTGTTCAGGTAATGTCCCAGGACTCGCCACTCGTCGTAAATACGTCCAAAGTTCTAAACCCCATATCCATCAGCAATAGTGTGCACTGAGTATGTGATCAAGTTTTCCTCCCTGTCGCGATAGTTCCAGAAATCCTCTCCAGTCCTTCATACGAGGTCTCGTGCTTGAGCGGAATTATCTCCTGCCATTCAAACTCGAAAACTGAACTGGGGAAAATGAAGTGCATGCCTTAAGGATGGGCATCAACTGTGGCAGTGGAACTTGGGGAGCTTCTGAAAGCTCCCATCTGCAGGTCTTGGAGAGTGGAAACAGAGTGTTTGATTGGGATTGTTAGAATGTGGAAAGAAGATTCGATGGTAGTTATTTGCCTCTGACACTATCGCCCAACTGCACATGGTAGAAATGCCGCGGGCAAAAATCACCAAGAGGTGTTCTGTTTTCGTGCATTAGCAGTCTGCCAACTAGTCCACCATCTGCCAATGAGGGTCACTTCTTTCAGCCCACTCACTGTGGATGATAAAGCCCTGCTATGAAGCCCATTCCTGGGTAATCCTGCTGCTGGCTGAGTCCATTTTTCTGACTTGTGAGTGATCTTCTCCTTTTCTGTACAGGTGCTGCAAGTGTTGCAGAGTGTCATTGGTGCAGAACTGACATCTGAAGAAGGGACACAGTTGAAGAGGATGGTTACAGAGTCGCTTCTTCACGACACACTAGTCTTGAATGCCTTGTTCCAGGTTCTTGCTGTCGACACTCATGGCCTCCAGGTATAGTATACTTGCTTTCTTGACTAAGTGTCCCCTATGTTTTCTTTTCTTTCTTGTAATTGATGGGTCTCTACGAGCGCTCACCTCGCCCCCGCTACTTCCAAGTTTCAATTTTTTTTCTTTTTTTTTCAGGGCTGGTCGCCGGATGGACCGGGGACCCCGACCCCATCCAGGGTCCTTCCGGTTGGACCGGCTGGTGGCCCGGGCCGGTTCCCTCCCAGTTGCCCCCAGCGCATTTTCGCTGGGGGCTGAATTTTTTTTCTTGTCGGCGCGTATGTGTTCCCAAGGCCTCGTGGGGGCGGGCCCTGCCCCGCAATTTCGAAACCGGGTCCTGTAGGCCCGGATTTTTCAAGTACAGAAAGTGGCCAATCTTGGCCGCCGATCATCGCAGATCAGCGGCAAAGACCGGCCAGGACCCCATTTGTATAAGAAAAACGGGCAGACGATATCCGCCGCTGATCTATGCGGAGAACAGCCATGCGTTTTTCCTAAGATGTGGGTCGGGTAGGCCCCTAATCCGATTTGTCATCTTGTGGTCCAATGGACCAGTTACCATTGGCAACATCTGATGCTCTTTCACCCTCAGCCACGAGGGAAACACTATGCTTCTGATGAGACTCTGCTGAGATTATATCCTTCTGCGACGTCCCTGCCATCTGTGGAAAAAAGTTATGGGTTCGGATTTTGGAATTGTGATTTCAGAGCCGTCCGAGGTGCAATCCSAAGAATGGACCTAAAATACAGGGCGTTGCTGCACTACTCTCGACATGCACAAAAGACAAAAATCTTGGCGGTGTATAACTTTCCGAATTCTAGCGGAAGATTCACTCTCGTTTTGCACATTTCGAGAGTAGTGCAGCGAGGCCCATATTCTTCTCTCTATCTATCTCGAATGGACCTTGCTCCACTACATGTATCTGGACAGACTGCCAGACAAGATACTTCCGAGGTGCAATCCCAAGAATGGACCTAAAATATAGGGCGTTGCTGCACTACTCTCGACATGCACAAAAGACAAAAATCTTGGCGGTGTATCTTTCCGAATTCTAGCGGAAGATTCACTCTCGTTTTGCACATTTCGAGAGTAGTGCAGCGAGGCCCATATTCTTCTATCTATCTCGAATGGACCTTGCTCCACTACATGTATCTGGACAGACTACCAGACAAGATACTTCCGGACTGACAACTCACCTTATGTAGGAACCAACAAACAGAAAACGCTCTGCCCATATTCTTCTATCTATCTCGAATGGACCTTGCTCCACTACATGTATCTGGACAGACTGCCAGACAAGATACTTCCGAGGTGCAATCCCAAGAATGGACCTAAAATATAGGGCATTGCTGCACTACTCTCGACATGCACAAAAGACAAAAATCTTGGCAGTGTATCTTTTCGAATTCTAGCGGAAGATTCACTCTCGTTTTGCACATTTCGAGAGTAGTGCAGCGAGGCCCATATTCTTCTATCTATCTCGAATGGACCTTGCTCCACTACATGTATCTGGACAGACTACCACACAAGATACTTCCGGACTGACAACTCACCTTATGTAGGAACCAACAAACAGAAAACGCTCTGCCTCCACGAGCAGAAAGCTGGAACCACAACTTTTCTGCTGTCGAAATATACTCTGGAAGAGCTTTAATTTCGGGCAAGGACCTCCTCTCATCATATCTGGTTCAGCTCGTGGGGTATCAATATCAAATGACGTACTTCATGAAGTGCTCCAGCGACGGGGGGGGTCGCATAAGTGAACTTGCTTACTGTACCCCTCCCTGAGGAAGCCGTAGTTGCCTGAATATGTCAATGATAACCCCCTGCCCCCCTCGCAAAGCCCCCTGAAAAATGTTGTGCATTAAAAATTTTATTGCGGATTCGGACAGCTCTTGAAGAGCGCAGTCGGAATCTGCCCAAGAAAAAAAAAAAAAAAAGAAGATATTTGGGCACTTTTTTTTCAAAACCGGTTTCCCGGTTCACCCCCCCTGGTCTGGTCCTGCTCCAGTTGGACCGGGGTAGCGCAACCGGCCGGTTGCCGGCCCAGCACTGTTTTTTTTTAAATTAGCACAGCTACTGTCTTCACCTGAATAGAACGCCCGGTCATTATCGCCGCATCTGGACCGAAAGTTGTGCCAAATACAGCTATAATGACCGGGCGTTCTATTCGGGTGAAGACGGTAGCTCTTAACATTGTTGTATCCATCTGATTTCATCAGAATTCAAACTCATGATACTTTCATCAACCGATAAATGCAAGTTCCTTGCAGCATGGGCTGGGTAGTTGTTCCCAATGTGGGCTCCAAACCAGAATACAATTCTCCTTGTAACACATGAGAGGTGCAGTCACACATCATGCCTCTGATCCTAGTTTCTACCTAGTTTCTACAGTATTCCGAGTGCTCATAGACGTGTCATATCCTGCAGCATAATTCACCAGCTGCTTCACCAGTGCTCAGAGTGAGGTCATAGCGCTTCAGTTGGGGAAGACGTCAGGACAGGGCATCAATTTGGAAAAGTTTAAGCAATTTTAGCATCCATCATTCGTGCAAACTTGATTGGAAGCAAGTCACAATTCATAGAGAACTTTACACCAAACCGGTATTCTAGATTCTCACCAGCACACTTAGTGAAAATGAGGAAAACAAATTTCCACTTGGGCACCTGGTTGCCTGAGCCGACAACAAACGCCGCTGGCGATATCACAGTATAGTGCCCGGATACACTTGCTATGGTTGTGCCTTGACTCTGTGCTTCCAAATGCTAAAAATGTTGTTGCTTCTTCTTCCGGTCGTGTGGAAACTTTTATAGGAGAACTGAAGTCCAGTTTGCTATGCGCTACTTTTGTCAAATCGATTTTGTCTGTGCCTACTGGCCTCTCATCTAGAATGTTCTACATGTCCAGGTCCTATGTGTCTAGGGACAGTTAACAGTGTCTCTAGATGTGGGTCCCAGGTGCGAATCCCGCCAGCAGCAAACATGAAAACAGCAAATATAGAAAGAGCCTGTGTTTACCTTGTACTTGGGCTAAGTTTCGGGTTCAAATCCCCTCTAAGCTCTACAGTCTCTCTGCCCCCCTGAGAACATACATATAGCTTTGCAAACTGAAAACAGACACTGCTTTCTAAGGGGCTACAAAAAGGCATCAATCTTCTCCTGTGCTGAGTTTATTGTGGAGGAAGAGTGGAATTGTTCTATTGCCTTGTCCCTTGCCACCTGATTGATTGTGCGAACAGAAGTACAACGTCCTTTCCAGCATGTCAGTATCGACACAACAGATATCGTTGTGCCAGATGGGCCCAATAATTGTGAGTATATCGTCGTTCCAACGGAAGCGGAACGTCCTTTCCAGCGTGTCAGTATGGACACAACAGATATCTCCGTGCCAGATGGACCGAATAAATGTGAGTATAGCATTCTACTGTTCCTAATTGATCACTTTTCAAATGGATAGAGGCCTACCCCTGTGAAACCCGTAAAGCGACGAAGATAGCCACCTTTATCGATAGATTCTTGGGAACACACCTGGACACGGAGGAAATTTTGACGGATAATGGGTCTGAAGTTAAGGGGGAAGTCAAACAGATTCTGTCACGAAGGGGTGTTATGCTTCGGCATACCGCCCCGCGCGCTGCTTTCCTTCACGGAGTAACTAAAATTGCAATTGGGGTGTGCCAAGGATTTTAGGGAAAAAATGAGTGCGGAGTGTTAGGAACTGGAATCTCCTGTGCGGTTCCGGTTATGGTTGATGAACGAGGGCGAAGGACGAAAAGGCAGGCTATGAATGCCTACCTAGTTCTAAAAATACTGCTGGACACCGTCATGTGCTCTGCGGCGTCTTTTACGGGGTCTGAATGGTGCGGACGTGTAAGTCAGGTCTGGGCTATGGACAAGCGTCCGGCGATGTGTCTCGCAGAGTTCGGGCTTGGAATCAATGGGGCACAAGTGCGCAACTCTTTCCGGGACTTTCGACTCTCCATGTGGCACGTAGCCGAACCCCTTTACCCTTAGTCGTTGCACACGGACCGTCAGAACACAGAATGGGGCCAATGGGGAGTGACAGTCGGCCACAGGATCACAATCAACTTGTCAATAGGCAGCAAACCTGAATACGGGGGAAAAATGTTGTCCACAATCACAAACCCAGAGTTTACGAAAGCCGCGCACTGCATTTCTGAAGGGAACTGATAGGGTCGCCCGGTCTGTTCTACAAAGTCGCACATGTCCCACTTGCATACACGTGGCTGTTCCTCGTCGTGCGGGAACTCGCGACATGGACTAGGATCCTTGCGCCGCACTGAAGCAGAAGACTGGGAGGCCCGGGCAAATATTGTAACAACAGCATTCGACACAAGATGAAAGAAGCATCCATCACACTCATCCACCATTCATGAAGCAAGCACTCTTAATCGCTGCTCACGTGGCAGAGTCAAATACGGGTATCACCCATGCATCGCTACTCTTTTGTGCAAGCGGAAGAGTGTAACAGTAGTGCTACTCACGTTCGCCTCCGGTTCCCCGAGCTTCACCGATCAACAATCTCATGCAAGCGGGCGCAAGCATTCAACTGCAGAAACCTTCCTACTTACTGGGTTAGCATATCACAAGGAAACAGTTCAGAGGAAAATCACTCATACGGCGCTTAGCATGTGAGAGAGAAGAGAGCGAAAGGAACGTTCTTGCAAAAATTATAGTTGTGAAGAGGATGGAGAGGGTATGTTAGAGAGGGAAGAGGAAGGGGAAAAAGGGGGAAGGGGATACTCATGCGGACCATGTTGATCCGATCGAAGTGGACGTAGATAGCAGTGTGAGCAGCTCGGAGCCTCTCTACACGCTGCTGTCCGACTTCTACAGTCACTTAAGATCAGCAAGATCCTTCCGAGTGTAGACAAATGTGGGAAATGAGGTTATGAGAGACGGTGTAAGGCAAGACCAAGATTCAGCGGGATCAAGAAGGTAGAGAAGGCCCAAAGTGGGGGAGAAGACTACAGTTACAGCTTAGTGTGAAGGCGCGAAGGAGGACGAAGAGCACAAGGAAAACTTGCATGCAAAGTGTACAAGTGTGCATGCAGCAAATGCATTCGTGAAAAACGTAAAGGCACCAAAATGGTTATGCGACATGCCAGTGAAAGCTGCACTTAGTTCCTACAGCCAAACTAAAATTGAAAACTTCGACAAGAAATGCCGAGCGCTCGCTAAGGCCCGTGAAAATCCTACGCCGATTCCTATCTTTTCTGCTACAAAACGAAATACGAACTCGGAAATGGATTAACCGACACAAGCCACCCATGGATACCCCACAAAAGCCGAAGCCCACAGAATTTCGTTGGGATCCGAGAGCATCGCCAAAAACATAGTATACAGCCCCTTTATGCATGGGAAACGGAAAGGGGCACAGGAAGGAGTGCATGTACGTGAGCTTGTGCGTCACAGACTGCCAATCTTATTCATTACGTGGGCACAATATTATGTGATATGTATTTCTGCCCTGGAGGACTTCAGATGGTCACCGGTGGACAGACTCAATGCTGCCATTAGATTATACTCATCATTTGAACTCAACCAGTTGGTGGATGTTCAGCCATGTGTCAGAATGTGGCATCACAACATTCGGGTACTGGGTGACCACTGCTTATCATGGTGCATTTGCCTCCAATACGTCAGAATTGGGCTGTGCACAGCCTACAGCGCCATCTTGCCTCATCCGCGCACCATGGGCTCGGCCAGCTGGATTCCCCCTACTCTATGGTAGATGCGTTGGATTGGAAGGCATATGGAGAAGACGGTATGTGGGTTTACATGAGAGTGGAGGTGAGTATGACTCTAATCTCTATCGCCTTAATTTATGCGTCAAGCGATGCCTTCGTGCCTCATCCGAACAGCACCGGCTTGGCCAGCTGGATTCCCCCTACTCTAGGCTAGATGCGTTGGCTTGGAAGGCAGATGAAGAAGAGGGTAGGTGGATTTACGTCACAGCGGAGGTGAGTAGGACTCTGGTCTCTATAGCCGCAATTTATGCCTCAAACGATCTCAGGGAAAAACAACTTTTCTCAAGCTCCTCTCAGCTAGGTCTGCGAGGGCATCCCAACGATTTTAGCAGGAGATTTCAATGCAGCCCAGGCTCGATGGTTGGATAGGCCTACAGGAGATCTGCCTGCACATGTGGAGGATGGTGTGACAAATGCACAAGGTTGTTAATGCAGGGGGTGGAACTCCGTAACCCCTTCGGATGGCTTCATCCTGTCTCCAGGCCTTATATGTGTTGGAGGTCCAACAGCCAGCAAGGGATGCGTCCTTATCTAGCATTGACTAATCTTGGTTTCCCCAAGAACTAGCGATGACTGAGATGACTGAAACTTGTGTACTCTCTGACAGACCATCCAGTCTGTGAGGGGCCGGGAGAGAGATCTGGTTGTACGGCTGTGTATAATTTTTATTTGTTGGACGGTTATCTCAAAGTATTTTTTTTGTGTTGATGGTGATGGCAGGAACTCCAGTACAACCGCACAGTTGGAAGGGCAGAGATTGAGGCTGTTGAAGAAGCCATATGCGCCTTGCTGAATTTGCTCAGCCAAGTTGTGGAGAATGTCAATGCAATTGCAAGTATAAGCAAGAAGGTAAGAGTATTGGTTCAAGTCTTCAAGATGATAAAAAATGGTTTTGCTGACATCCTTTTTTGGCATGCATCTGCAAGTGAGAGCATTCGCTGAAGTCCTCAGGATGATAGATCGTTGGTTTTGTTAATGTCCTCTTTGGCTTCTTTGGATGGGAAGGAAAATGCAGATGATATTGGGCATATCCTCATGTTACACCATGCATCATTCCTGGACGATGATGTTGTTTCTTTCTCATAGCGGGATGGGATATCCTTACTGGTGATGTCCATCTTGTGCCAGTGCTCTCTTTGTCGTGGCATTACTGGTGGCAGGCGGAAAGCATTTGCAAGCTGTATTTGAATGTGTCCTGATCGTACGCTTGTGGTCTGACTTTTGCAGGACCTCCCTCCAATGTCTCCTCTGGAGGTTGCTATCTTCAACAGATCACTGGGGTCGGAGCCTATGGTCTCTGTAATTGCGTCATTTCTGCAGTACAGTCATTGCATGGTATGTATGCCCATACTTCCAATAAGAAAATGGGATTATGGGAGAGAGAGGTTGACATTATGGGCTGTTTTTTTAAGACTATTAGAAAGAGTTTCAGATTGTCAGTTTTTTCCTTTTTAAAATCCCAGCAACAAAATGACAGTTGTGTGTGGTCCGACTTGGATGGACAGCTATGCGATGGATTCTGCAGATCTAGAATACCATAGAAACTGCTAATTGTCACCATACAAGCTGTTCGCCATCTGTTTACTGGCCGATCTGTGAGGGCAGTACCACACCCACTAATAGACACTGCAATGGGCCAACATGAAATATGTCACGTCTTGCCCTCCTCAGTTGCTGATCCCTACCTGCTGGGTTGTGGCCATGCTCGTTTCGGGTGGGTGTGGGGTGTGGACTTATACACATCTAGATGTGGATGCTTTACCGGCCATACCCCATGCTCCAACCAATTCCCCCACTTGGCGTCCTTTGCTGTAAGTGTTCTAGGTTTTCCTTGAGAGTCCTTCAACCATGGGTTACANNNGAGAGAGAGAGAGAGAGAGAGAGAGAGAGAGAGAGAGAGAGAGAGAGAGAGGGAGGCACGCACGGGCCTCCCACACGGGCACTGAGGCGCTCAGCCTTGGTCATTGAGCCCTAGGGAATGCCCCACGGGTTGGGCGGCCTAAGGGCTGGGGTGCTCGTCCTCGTCTTCTTCTCTTGTCTTCCATATGCTTCACTTCGATATTTTTGACTGTTGGCGAAGCAGTAAAAGCACATCTATATTGTGAATGGTACACGAGGCCATCTGTAGGCTTGAAGTTTCAGACGTGAATGCGGACCATCTAGTTTTATACGCGCTAATGTGACTTCTTTGTGTTTGTGCATTATGTGCTTCTCTAAGTTCTCTTCGAATTAACCCCTTTGGCTGTGTGAGTGTGTTTCTGTTATGGATCCCAGAAGGCACACTCCTGACGTTCACAGTTTCCATTTGTATTGATCCTCATCAGGATCTCATGTATATTCTTGGCAACACATGTTTGAACTTTCACCTTCAACTGTGTATGACAATCTGACGGAATTTGTTTTGTGCCCGGATGACTTCGTGCACAGAGCTTGCCTGAAGCTGCTGCTAAACTTTTGTCAAATTTATGCCCTGCTGCATGGCGAGCAAGGCCTCATCCCGTCACTCTTGCAAGTTACCTCTCCAGCTCTGGGCAGGTGGGTCTTGGTACCATCGGCCTCTTCTTGAGGTCTCAGCCTGTTGCTGTTCATCCACTCAACAACTATGTACTTGTGCAGCTACACGCTGGAACGCATGAGGCAAATTTGGAGATGTCTAGTAAAATGTAATTCAGCTTATTTGGGTATGGCTAGAGTTATGTGCAATTGGACTGTAGGACTGTGTATGGTACAGGGTGAGCAGTAACTGACAGTGCTCATTTTTCAGGGTGTTGAGTTGGTCATATGTGACTGTGGCAAAGGCCCCAGTACCCAGTTCCGTATGATCGTGAGGGGCTGTTGTTACAGTTTTGACCAGGGGTCGACCCCTGGGCCTCCTGCTATTGCTTATCTAAAGGACATGTTGCTTCGAGCCCAAACACAGATGCAAGCCTGTCTTTCTGCACTTTGAATTTCAAGAACTGCTCTTTAGTTCTTCCCAGGACACTTCAAACTGAGAGTGCCCTTTTTCAAACATTTCTTTTGCTGCGGTTTCTGGAACAAAAGACTGGTGTGCAATTGCCATTACATCCTGCAGTATAGTCTGGATCGTACTATTGTATGTGCAATGTGGATTCGGTTTTGCTCCCGTATTCTTACTGAGCTTCCATAGTGTTTGTGTTCAGGGTGGTGTCTGAGTGGAAGTGTGTGCATATGCGTGCGCTCAATCCCCCTCCTTTCTCCTCCTCCATCGTACCCAGCGCTTGTTACAACAATGGATGGATTTGACTCTGTAGGTACCTGACTGCCCACGATTCTTGAATCTACTCCTGGCTGACATGCTCTGGTTTGTTTTGTTTCTTTGAAGAGCTTTATGGTATGACCTCGGTAGGCTGCAGGACCTGGGACCAGAACCTGCAAGGATATGACTGGGATGGTGGTGAATCCGCTCCTTTTTTTTGTTTTTTTTGAATCCACTCTTATCATTGCTGTGTTTTTTGCTCTGTGAATGAACTTTCAAATTTGCCATGCTTGGTAACCTGTTCTTGGGGTGTTGTCACAGCTGCTGCCCTTTCATCTCCTCTGTTTGAAGCTGGTGTGTGTGTGTGTGTGTGTGTGTGTGTGTGTGTGTGTGTGTGTGTGTGTGTGTTAGATCACCGTAGCTCATCCACTATAAATACTCCACACGGTGATCCACATACCTTGTGGTACACCATCCCCAGGCTAAGCAGTTAGTCCTTGACCGTGGAACCCTTGGCTATAATTAGGGGGGTCCTCAATATCAAGAGAAGCGATCAGATTGCTTGTCCTAATCCTATGCATATTGCTGAAGAGTGGGAGGTCGAATTTTGCTTGATCTGGTTTAGCTATGTCATAATTCCTGTGCCGTGGTCAGCCATTGTGACGTAATCTCGGTTCACAAGATGCATTATAAGTGACTGGCAAGGGCGTAGACTCCATAGAGTCGTAGACATACCTCGTATAGGGTAGGTCCTTCAAGGATGATCAGCTGAGGCTCATAGCTATATCCATTGCTCCATGGGACAGGCTTGTATGTCTTGGCCAATTGTCCCGTTGCATCCATGAAATTTTTCCACGTGCATCACTTGTGGATAATTGGCAGATGTGCGTGTGTAAGTTACAGAGACAGAAAAACTGCTACAGGGAGGGAGAACCAGACCAGGGGTGTTATTTTTATATCGCCACATGGGGGGGCTCTCGTCTTGGTTGGCTATCGGTTGGATCGCCAGCAGAGGCGAGAATTCCTTCCATGCATGGTACTATCAAGAACAGCAAGGGGCGTCATCAGGTAGGCAGAGGTGCAAGTCAATTTGCATGGGGGATCCTGCTTCCAAGCCAGTCATTGAGGCAGGGGACATGCATTCCGGTTTGTCTCATAAAAGGTTGGCCTGGGCACGTGATTCCATTATATGTGTTGGATCTATCACTCATCAAACTTACGACATTTTTTGCTTCTACAATCCATATGTTATTTGGTAGGGGCATAATCAGAGTAGAAAAGCGGCAAGAAGGTGCGGGTTCCTATCAGCAATTTCGATTTCAATATATGGAGCGGAAAGAGAGGAACCGTTGCCGAGGATTCATACTAGAGTAACGAATCCTTCGTCACTTTTACATATTGGCTTTCATGGCCTTGCCAATCACAGTTCTCAATCTGCGTGTGTAAATTCCAATCACGTATATTGAACATAAGTGTGATTGTGGGGATGTAAGACATCTTCACAAATGCTTCAACCAGTCCGAGCAATTCACTAGATGCAAATGAATGGCTGGATGGAAAGAGGAGAACTGCTCGTTTTCGAGAATCGCTCCAAATCAGTGGAAGGGCCAAGGGGAGTCATTCACCACTTAGCAAGGTTGGGTCTATGTTCCAGTCGACTATCGGTTTGAAATTTGAATCCGCAGCTCCTGGTCTGCTATTGGAATCCATGTATAATCAGCAGGGTCATAGGTTCCTATGTCGTGTAACAAACAAAAGGCAATCAGATGTTCACAATTGCTTCTGCCTTGTGAAAATGACTCTCTATGATTCATGGATTAAACAGCGAGGAAGAGCGAAGTCATTCGGCACTCCTTGTGCGAGACTCTTGCCTCAGTCGATCAATGGGTCGCAGATGCACTTCTCATTCTGCTTCGTCGGCTTCTACCAGTAATTAACTGGTGTGTGCTCCTACCCCATATATCAGGCCGTCAAGCAGCAACAATCAATGACACGACTGCTTTGATCAGTGAGAACAAGTCATTGAAAGAAGGGAAGAGAGGAAATGTAACTGAGATTGAAAGTATCAGTGTAACGCAAAGAGAATCACAGAGGGAACTTTAAAACACCAAGTTAGCTGGAAGCCTGGGGGATTATTAATCTAGGAATAGGCAGATAGAGGGTCCTTTGTGTATTGCGCTGCCGGCATCCCACTTCTCCGTTGTCACATGCTGTCCATCCTGCCTTCCTTGGCTCAGGTTGAGATCTGCGCTTCCGGCCCCATCTCTCCCTGGGATACACTTCTCCCTTTCTCCTCCTTTTCCCCTATCATCCGCTTGTTTTTCTTCTCTTTCCTCACTTATGCTGATCATGCACCTTTTCATTCCCTAGATCCCCTGCTTCATTCTTCGACAATCTGCTTGCTGTACGTTGCGCAATTCCCCCCGTACACACGAGTAGCTTGCCAGTGTGCTACCTATTAGCCCACCGGAGGTCTCATCGACAGTAAGTGGGCACTTCATGTCTGTTGGCTTCGAGTGCTATCGACAAGGATCAGTTGACCCCGCACGTGAGCAAGCAGAGAAGAGTCCGAGAATGGTCTCCATCTTACCGCATGTCAGTTTGCGGGAGAGAACTACCGTCCTCTGATGACTGTATATAACCGATTCAGCCACCATTCTAAACCATAGTGGACATCTTGTGTCCTTGATGGCTAGAAACTGTCGGTGGGCCAAACCGGGATATCTAGCTCTTTGCAGACTGTGTTCCTGACCTGGTCCCTAGTTCCAACCGCCCCCAACATGCTGGGCATGGCCAGATTTGACCCTTGACACAATGCAATTCTCTAGGCACAAACCAGTTTTCACAGATATCTACTGGTCCTATGTGTGCTTCGGTATCCCGCTGACCCGCCCGTCCCATTTTCTTTCTGAAAAAGGCACCATTTATTCAAATACAATGATCGGAAAAGTTTAAAATTTGAATGTGTGTGTTTGTGGGGGGGGGGTGTGCAGGCGGCGCGGGGGTCCGTGTGCGTGTGGGTGGGTGGGTGTGTGGGTAGGTGGGTGTCTGGGTGTGTGAGTGTGTGGGTGTGGGTGCGTGTGCGTGCCTGTGTGCGTGCGTGCATGCATATGTGGTCACACATCATTGTGTCTGTCTCATTCAGTGCCACATCTGTTTTTGTTTTCTTTTTCCCTATGGAAAAGAACAGGTCCGTATGTGCCTGGCACCATATCCATTCTGGGTAGCATCACTCCGTTCCAATTCCCCTGGCAAGTCATAACGATACATAATATACCTACTCTTGATACTCTCTCACGTTATGACCCGGGGACCCCTGGCAGTATTGATTGCTTCCTTCAAGTCTGTCAGTCAAGCCCATACTTGAGGCGGAACCCCTTTCACTGTCCATAGAACCATGGTTTAATCACCCATCAGCCTCTCTTCTTTGTCCCTCTGCCTGCTGAAACCCACGGTTACCCAATGTTTTGTGTTATCAACCGTTTTGCTGGAAACTGCATTCAATTTGCAAATGCCTGACAATTTGATATTTGCCACTTGCTGTTATTTCAGGCTCTGCAATTGCAGCGTGCATTAGCCAGTTTACTCGAGGAAGAAACAGCTTTGACTCTCCCGACACTCTTTTCGGCAGTTATACATCTTCTGGTTTCTGCAACTGAATGGCAGGTGCGTCTCCTCCGTTTCATGCAGATGCCTTTCTAATAGTTTATGTACACACACGTAAAAAGTTGCCTATTAACATCCCTGCTTTATTTCGCTGCATTCCCTTTTGTTTGTTTCCCTTGCAATTCAGAAATTGGCAATACGGGCCTTGTGCCGCGACCCCGGGGGGCCCATGTGATGCGGGACACCGGCAGGGCGGTGTGCAAAAATATGTATGCCAACTTTAGTGATTTTTCGCACTCAAAAGAATGCACAAAATCAGGCACATAGATTGGGTGCTGATCTTTCCAGTAATATACATATTGCTATGATCCTGGTCAGCTCCCAAGGCAAAAGTTCACGAAGAGACAATGCCATTCAGTTGCAACTTGCAATTAAAATGAAAGAGATTGGAAGAAGAATAAGACGAGAGGGGAAGACAAAGAAAGAATAGAGGAATACAAACACAAGTTGGAACCAATTTCATCTCTCCCTCATCGCGCCTCCATCATCTTCCCATCATCATCTGCACCATCATCTTATTATTATGAATAATAACAACAGTAATGAATGAATGAGCCGGAATCAAATGTCCAATTACTCCCTGTTGCTGTGAGTAACATAAAGAGCCCTCCTTTGACCTACTACACCTCCCTTCCTCCTTGGTGTGGCATCTAACTATGCCGGCTCATCAAAGCCTAGCGTAGCTTGGATGACAAAAAGAGAACGCAAAGCTTCCATGTCCTCTCCCCTCCTTGCCACCAAGCCTCGTCCTCAACCCACTGGTAACCCCTTCACAGGCCTTCTACGTACAGTGCCAACCTTCAAGATGAAGATGCGAGTCCACCATAGCCAAAGGGAGTCTCCTTCCCGGTTCCTCCGTCCTTCCTCCTGCTCCTTTACCTCTACTCCACCTCCACAGCCTAGCTAGAGGTCCTCCAGAGCCTGGGGCGACTTCTACCATTCCCCTTTTACTCCGCCATAGCCATGAAGGTCTTCTTGATCACTCTCCAGCTCCTCCTCCTGCTCTACCAGAAGCTCCACCGGCATCTGCATCTGGGCGGAGCAGCAGCTCACTGCTTCAAAATAGGGCCTCAACTGCCACATGCAACCAATTTATGGACTCTTTTCCTACCCGATCTATGGTAACTTTCAGCTGAATTTCTCTGTAGCTGGGCTCCCCTTCGCGCACTGGACCTGCTGGAAGTTCTGCCTTTTGGCGGGAACATTATTGCAGTCTGCAGCTACGCCCAGGGCCTTAAAATCTAATCTAATACCTGTCTATATACAGGCCCCGAACCTTTGTGACTATTTGGGAGCTACTGGGCTTTCCCCTGAGCCTAGTGGACCTACCTGGGCATGGCCTAGTTGTTGAGCATGGCCTGCGAGTCCCTATCAAATTGTAAAACTACCCATGGTCGTCGATAGATTCTGGTGCGTTCTTCCATTGTCAAATTTCGGGTCAGTTCCTGTGTCTACACCTATTCCCTATCTACTCCAACCTGACGCACAGAAACACAGTATGTAAACGGAGTTCGCACAAGGACACAGACTTGGGCTCAGGTAAGCACAAGGCACATGCACGGTAGTTGTAGGTCACACACACGATTAGAGAACACAGCATGACTGATGCTACTGCTTTCTTACATAATGATGCCACTTTCTTGCCACATACCTCTTGCCCCGTGCTGCAGCAGGACAATGTGCCAACGCTCTGCTACCTTCTCCTTTGCACAGCTACAAACACTGTTACACTCGGCTGTAGCCGCCATCATTTCTGTCACAACCACTACAATGACATGGTTTCTGCATCCATATGTGTAGAGAACTGTCCCTCCGTTCCTGACAGCAGGCACCCTCTGCATCCGGACACTATATATGTCCATTTTGCAGCCATGGGCGCTGTACTGAATGTATGTTTTTTTTGTGGTGACTGTGCATCCTTCATTTTTGCCTGCAATCGACATGCCATTTGTCGCAGGTGTGTGGCGGGCATGCTCAATGCCGGCCGTCGTGGCAATTGTTGCACTGAGAATGCTCAGCTAGGTCTTCCATGCGTTCATCCACCCCATCCTTACACTGTATGTCCCCTCTGTCGTCAAGGACGGACTGAGTCTTGAGACTTTTCTTATACTCTCCTTTGCCTTCATGTTAGTTCCACACTCCCTACTTTCCCTTATTTTTCCTTTGTTGTTCTTTGATTCGTCTTCTCTCCATATCTCGTCTCTGTGTTTATCCCCTCCCCCCTTACACTCTCTTTCTCACAGCGTACAAGTAGGCCGTTATGGCACTCACTCACACTCAACTTCATCAACGTGGCGAGCCCTGTCTTCATGTTTGTCGTGTGTAGTTCTATTTTTATCATACTTGCGGCGCATGTATGCGCTACGCCATATGCGCCATCTGTATGCGCCATGCGCCATGCGCACGTCCGTATGCGCCGTGCGCTGGTGCGCGCGCAAATGCGGCCTGTTCCCCTGGGTGGTGCGCCAGATGCGCCACATTATTTTGTTTTATATTTTTTTTCCTGTGCTCCCCATGCTGCATTGCGAGTTGCGTAGGCAGAACAGTGCCCTTCTGTGCTCCCCCCGATGATTTGAGCAGAAAGCAGGGCTTCCATCTCTCTCTCTCTCTCTGTAGCATATCAGAAAGTGAAATGCACTGAAAGCCTAGGATCTAGCAATGACGAAAGTGGCAACAACCAGCAGCATAGGTGCAACATTCACAAGGTGTCAATGTGCGCGACGCAAAGAGTGAAACAATGGGAAATCAATAACAACACATTCGTATCATCATCATCATAGGCTGGGAAGCAGCGCAGCGGAAGATCTAGTATCAAAGGACACATGGACAACAACATGAAAGGGAGAAACTT